TCTGATCCTGTTCGGTGTGTGTGTCTGAGTCTGCTCCTGTTCTGTGTGTCTGAGTCTGCTCCTGTTCTGTGTGTCCGAGTCTGCTCCTGTTCTGTGTGTCCGAGTCTACTCCTGTTCTGTGTGTCTGAGTCTGATCCTGTTCTGTGTGACCGAGTCTGCTCCTGTTCTCTGTGTATGAGTCTGCTCTTGTTTGGTCAGGCACCTTCTTAGAGGAAAGAATCAGACGGAGGCTTTGTGAACAGACCTGACCACAGGCCGGGGACCTCTGCCTGTCCACACACTGCACCTCCTCTCACCCACCAAGATAACCTGGGGGCAAGCCCATCAGTGTGGGCTCGGGCAGGGGCGGAGGGGGGAGGGTGTAACAATAAAAGTTGTATTTTCCTATATACTCCCCTCCCCAGCACACACACATGCATACTACCATCCCTGAGCTTCCACGAGGAGAAATCACCACTTTCTCACCAAACCAGGAAATATGCTTTGCTGCTTAGTTTGTTGGCAACACCCCACGTAGTCTGGTCCATAAGTCAGACTACCTGGGCCCGGAGACCCGGCCCTGGGCTCCACCTGCGACACGCACTGTGCCACTCGCCGCCGGGCCTGTGAGCCTCGATCTGGGTGCACGTGAATATCCTCCCCTGCACCCCGAGTGGAGGAGAGCGCCAGGAGCACGATGCAGGGCCGCTGCGGGCAGCGGCACACGAGCAGCTGCTGGTATTAGCGCATGCAGTTTGAGGTCATTCGGTTTCTGGTCGACCAGTTAGCTGGTCAGGATTCAGTGTCAGTTGGTTAAATTCTATTCTAGACTCAGGACACAAAGATTCTGAGGAATAAGACACGGTGTTTGTCCAGCTCACAGTGAGGAACTGCTGGGCAAAGGGAACAGTGGGATGGAAATAAAACAGATTAGTGCTCACTCCCGGGTGATACCTGAGGAAATGCTGACCTTCTCTGACCACACCCCTCAGCCAGACACAGCAGCAGGAAAGTGGACCCGATGGGGCTCTGAGGAAACCAGCGTATTTTGTAGGTCATGAAGTCAATCTGATAATCATCACTGCTGCGTGTCATAGAAACTCTATGTAGCCCCACTTTTGCAGGTGGGCAAACAGGCCCAGGTGAGCTCAGGTAGGGAGCCAACGAGAGGGGAACGATGGTTGTAAGCAGAAAGGCCATTTCTCGGGCTCCGAAGCCAACTATACTCACACGTGGTGTTCTGAAGTCCACACTAGCTCTTCAAACAGACATTGATTTGGTTTTTATCACAAAATGCCCTCATGTCTTTGAAGTCTCATCTGCTTCTCTTTTCTGTGTGAGGAGCTAAGATCTGAATAAACCCTTTCATCTGGATTTCAAAAGCCCTTATCCTCACAGTGCAGGCGCTCCACAGGCAGCTGATAACTGATAAATAAACAGACGCTCCTCCTGTCAGCTAAAAATACACGCACCCGCGGCTGCTCCTGCCTGTTCTCAATCATTCCAGGGGACGGGCTGGGAGATTTGTCATGATAAGAGACCCCCAAATGCCATTAAGCCGTTTTAGAGGATGAAAGCGCAGTTTCAAAGGGGTGAGATGAGCCCCACCCCTGCTCACCTCCTCCTGTGAAATACAACAGTGTTATCATGAGCAGCCACAGCAGCCACGCCATGAAATCATTAAGAGTAATTCCATTCTTTTCGGTGGTGAGCAAATTGTCTGGGGATGCGCAGGGATGGAGG